CGTTTTCCTCTACCCTCTCCACTTCCCAGAGGGGGAAAAACCTGCACGACGAAAAAAAGATCAAGACTGAAAACCTGAGTGCAAAGGATTTCGTGGTGCGCCCCCACGACTACTCCTCGCCAGCAGGCAAGGGGCAAACTCCGTTCCCATCCGACTTTTTCCCAACACAACAGCAGTAGCGAGAAGCAAAGAGGGGTCTCTCCTGAACCCCCCCCCCCCCGACAGTCAGTCTACACGCCAATGTCGTTCGCGGTGTTGTCGTACGGTGTGTTTGTTCTGCTGTATGTACCAGATGTGTTCTGTTTCTCTGCTGAAGGAGGGTCTTGCTCTGTGTGTTGTGTGGTGTTTTTTGAGGGTACGCTTCAAGTTGGACTGACGTCAGCATCCCGGGGTAATCACAAATGTGGAGGGTAGTTCCACAAATGTTTACCCGTACCGCGGGTAATTGTGCCGCCGGCATACAGAACAGGAGGGTAATCTCTGTGGGGTACGGGATGTGCTACAGAACTCACAGAAGTGTAGGGTATTGTGGCACGACCGTCACAGAACCCACAGAAGTGTTAGGGTATTGTATACAGAACAAGAGGGTAATCTCTGTGGGGTACCGTGTGTGCTACAGAACTCACAGAAGTGTAGGGTACTGTGGTGCAACCGTCACAGAACTCACAGAAGTGTAGGGTATTGTGGCGCTACGGGCACAGAACTCACAGAATTGTTCTGTAGGGTAAAACAGAGGGTAATTACCCCCGGTATAGATCTGTGGGTACCCTACAGAACCTAACCTTGCTTTTTTTCGGTGTTGCCGGGGGAGGTTGAGATGGGAGGCAGGGGAGCGCAGAGATCGTCAAAAAAAAAATTCATTCCCGATTCGGGCGGTAAGAGTGAACGCTGTGCCTAAGGTCTGGGTGTGTAGAAGGATCTTGTGGGACGAGAGGGCGTAGTGTGTTATTCGGTAAATTTATCACTTCCATTGACGATCCCTCTGACGACAGGGTTTCCTCCTCCCCCCCCCCTCCACGTTCTACCAACCAACTTTTTCTACTGCGCGCTTACGCCAACGACGGGCGATGGGCTGGGCGCGTGGTGGAACAACATGGCTGACTAAACACCCCCCCCTGCCAAAGGGAGCACATGGAAGGCATGTCTCACATCGAGAAGGCTGTCTCGAGTTGCCCTCTAGAAGACTACCAGGCCATCGGACAGGCCGCCAAGAAGCAGGTGAATAAGTTCTCCTTCGCTTCCTCTGTTCCTGATGTTTTATCTGTTGGATGCCGTGCGTGAAAAGTTGTCTCGGGCGAGGCGGATTGCATGGTCCTTGAAGGGTTCGTGCAAGAGAAGCAGGAACAGGCGCGGGGAAGGGGGTATGGAGGCACGGTAGACGTATATCGGACAAAAACCAACGAGATTCCACTTCCCCTTCCCAGTGCAAGTGGGAAACGTCACACGGTTTCAAGTACAATAGAGGTCCCTGTTTAGCGCCGGTTGAATAGTGCCGGGGTTTTCGGCTGGCAGGTGCCGAATTTTCCACGCCATTCTCTAGACGTTGAATAGTGCCGGTCCGATAACGTGCCGGTGAATTTTCTGGGCACATACCGGCACTAAACAGGGACCTCTACTGTAGGCCTTTTTCGTTTTTTTTCCTTTCTTCTCGTGGCGTTGTAACCCCGCATCCCCTCCCAACGAACGCCCGCCACCCGTCCGTGTGGTGGTGTGTCGGCATCGCTGATTTTCGACCAGGCTGTTCTTGACGCCTTCTTGATATCGCTGAACGTGGCGGCTTTCGTGGGCTATGGCACCATCCCTCTCGACGTTTTCTTCCCCCAGCGGTCGCTGCTCACAACCTGGCTTCCTCCCGGTGAGCGAGGTTTGTAGGAGATGGATCCGGAAACAAACCGCATACCGTCCCGGCGGCCCGCGGAATCAGCAGGATCTCAACCATAAACGTTGCCGTGCTCCACCATGTAAAACCTTGGTATCGTCTTGTGTTCTCGCGTGCGCGTGAACCCAAAGTCCGGTGTTATTTTCACTTGTCCCTCCACGTTCCCCCGAACACTCCTTCCTCCTAAATTTCCCCTGTCGATGGCTTGGACTCCAACCAGGACCGACGGCTTGGTGGGGCAACTTTGTTGGGGACGTGGCTTGGACGATAGAGCCGATAACCGTGTTCCTGGCGCCCTACCTCGTGCTCAGACGGGCCCAGCCCGGCAAGACCAAGACCAGCTAGATATAGGGTGGGGGGCACCGTAGACGGGTAACATCTTTGTGATGTGGGGGCGACGTACTTCCTTGTGTGTGTTTTTGTCTTTGACCTGGAATGTGTGTACACGTCTCTTTTGCGGCATCAGGAAGGGTGTAATCCTGGACACTAGCCCTGTTAAGAGGAGACTGTGCCAACTCTACATGACTGAATGGAGCGCAGGGTGGACAAATGAGGAGAGGTCTGAGGGGAGGGGGCAACAGACCCAATCAAGATGATAAACAGATGGGTGTGTTGTCGCTGGCCTCCGCTGATGGTCTAGCAGCGGGTGGGTGTACTCAAGGCATGTAATCTAGTGCACCATTTGTGGCAAAATGAGCGCGCCGTGATGTTATAGCTGTTGTCGTAGTTCGCTCGTTTATGACTTGAATCAATTGTCGCGATCTCCGTGCATACGTGAGCTGTACCGGAGTGCGTATGAGAATTGTCGTCGTAACTTGTGGCGGAACATTGGCGTGTGCAGAAGAGCATGGTCTCGGAAGAGCATCTCGCTTTTTCGGTGACCGCCAAAAAAAAAAGACGCAGAGCAAAGAGAATGCTGTGGTACACATTTTCGCCTTTGGAATGGGAAGACAAACGATGCGTGGCATTCAGGATCCTTGTGGGCAGACGCTGCTTGCTCGCGGAGTCCAGAACCATCTCCATGCCATCGCCTGTCTGTGCATTTATTTGTTTAGATGAAACAATCGTGTACACGCCGTTGATCTTGCAAACAAGCTAAACAAATTGCACACACGCACAGGTAAGGATTTCTTCAAAAACTGTTGAAGCACGCACGGAAGCACGCACGCGCACCTTTCCACATATCTGTGGCGTTTCCCATTTTTTCGCTCAAGTTGCAAGAAAGAGCGTGCACCGTCCTTCGTCGCCTGCTCGCGAAACCATCGCGTTCTCGGACCCTTCTTGGGGCAAGACCAGACGTCCCTTGACTCTACACGACGCAACGCAAACAGGGCCAACTGCGTGGCGGCGGCGGCGGCGGCGGCTCCAGAGCAAAACGGGGCGGCCTCTACACAACTTCAACCCTGTAGACTTAAACTAACGTGTTGTACGTAACATGTCGTACATTTCCATTTGCTTGGGAAAGTAAAAACACTACAAAAACAAACGCAATCGAGGAGTGGCGTGCTTCGGGCGGCCGGGGGGGTATACACCACAAGCAAAGACGCCCGTTCGGCCCACCGAAAATTCATTTTTTGAAAATTGCAGCCTGTACTGTACGCGTCAAACACGATTCGGTGTGTGCTCCTCTCCTCTCTTCAGGCAGAAAACAAAAAGTAGGGTAAAGCACAACGACAAAAAGGTGTAGCTGGGGAGCGAACGATGTACTTGGGAGCCATCAGTCAGGAGCGCCGCGGACCCCCCGTCCCCCCGCCGCACGCCCGTGCTTCACCAAAGGCTTTCATAACTAAATCGTAATCCTGGATGCAAGCAGCGAGCGGTTGGTGCTGCCCTCATCTTTCGAGCATCCACAACCGGCAGAACAACTTCTGCCTGCCCCCTCCCCCCGCCACCTCTTCTTCTAAACCCTAGCCCATTCCCACCCCAGGCTACAGTAATAGGTCGTTCCTCTTTGCAACGGGTCGTGTATCGTCAGCTCAAACGCTTGCAAGAGGATTAACCCTACACCATAAACGGAGAAATGATCTCCACGCACTCCCCGTGATGATGGGCAGTTCATACCCCCCCCCGTCGGCCACAGCAGCACATCTAGAAGTGGTCTCCGTCGATACCTGTGTTGCAAGGATGACAGGGGGCAGGGGTGTGGGAGAGGGGACGTGGTTGCACGG